ACCTGTTTATTTAAAATACTATAAATATTTCTAAATAATCTATAACAAGTAAAAAAAATAAATAAAAAAATATGTACAACAGAAAATTAGCATGGTTGCCAAAAACTACTCTTACTACTCCTAGGAAATTCTAACAATAACAGAACAAATTGAATTTCCAAAATTGGAGAACATGTTATAAAATGAAAGACATGTACGACATATCTATTATTATTATAATAAAAATATTGTTATCAAATACCATCAGTTTTAAGCTTAAAAACTAATAAATTAAATATTTTGCGATACATAGTAAAAAGAAAACCTTAAAAATGCTCTAAAAAAAGTTTCATTATAATTTAGCAGAAATATTATTTTTGACATATAGAAGGCCCTCCTAATGTCATATCGGTTTATCCTGGATAAACTTTTAATGCTATGGTACTTTTAATCATTTTATGCATGACATCTTCCAGTACCACAGAGTTTTGGTTTAACCTGGATAAACTTTTAATGCCATGGTACCTTAAATCACATATAGCATTCTTCAGTACCATAGAGTCAGCAAGTTGTTCGTCAAAGGGACTCTTAACAGTGATGACAGTGTGAATAACGTTTGCTATGGCATGAAGCAAAATGTGTCTTTATGAAGGAGAATGAAGCCTGGGTGCAATATTATCACCCCAAATCGGCAGGAAAGTTTCTGCAGACCCTTTTTGTGAACCAAGACAGGCAATTTTGGAAGACTGCTTGTCTAATGGGATCACTGTTACTAGTGACAACGTACTCAAAACTCTTAAATAGGATTGTCCCTAGGCAAAAAAAAACTCAAAGCCATTCTTACATAGCACGACAACGTGCGAACACATCCCGGCAAATCCAAGATTACGAAATTATACCACATCCTTCTTATTCTGACGTCGCCCCCCAAGGGATTGCCATACCTTTGATCAACTAAAGGTAGCAGTTGAGAATGAATGACCGAGACACCCGACCAAGACACCCAACCGCGACGGGTCGCTTTATTTCTGAATAATATGTAATTTTATATGAAGAACATTTGTGAACGTGTGACCGAGACAGAATGCACAAAGACATTGTCTGAGTAGCATTGCGTTTATCGCTTTTAGCACGTGGATTTAACAAGGGTCTAGCTTTAGTAGATCGGACACAATTATATGGTTCATATATGCGCATTCTAAAAAATTTATGTCTGTTTATTCGAAATTCGAATTAAAATATCTCAAAAAGTTATAAACAAAAAATTGATGCGCTTGCCAACTATTTAGAACGCATCTTCTACCCAGGAGAAGGTGAAGAAATTGAAATGGACAACTAAGAGGAAGTTAGTGATATAGACAAAATATTATTAACTAGTCCTAAAGAAGTACAAAGAGAAATAAAAAAATAATATTAATGTAAAAAAAGCTGCCTGGTTCGATCTGCATTGGGATTCTCATAATATATATGGCACGTGTTGAGACGACTATCTTCGTTCCACAGAATGCGATTTGTATGTAATGTCTCTCTCTATTCAATTCGTTACGTGTTGAGTACGCACCTAAGAATCCCTGTCCTGATCACAGGAGAGATACTATAGAAATTATCACGAAAAGGTTTAGTAAAACTAACCAATATAATAAACAGAAGCATTTAGAACTCAACATGGAAAACTGCAGAGGTACTAATGATACCCAAACCCAGAAAACCCAATAAAGATATAACATCATATAGACCAATCTCGCTTCTACCTGTGATATCAAAACTATTTGAAAAATTGCTCGAATAAGATAATCAACAAAAAACAACTGATCCTGTCCCATCAATTCGGATTTCGAGATAAACATTTTAAGATTGATCAGATCCATCGCATAATAAATAAAATTGAGAATTCTCTAGAAAAAACAAAAATGATCCTCAGTATTTCTTGACATCTCAGAACCCTTAATTAAGTGGCATCAAGGCCTATTATTTAAAATATATATCGAAGCGAACATTTAAAGTTAAAATGGAAAACAAATACTCTGAACTCAAGCCAATAAATGCTCCCCACGGGGAAGTGTTCTTGGGCCAGTATTATATTTATTATATACCTATGACATTCCAGAGATATAAAATATTAAATTAGCCACAATCGCTGAGGATACAGCTATCAACCATAGGATCATCTTTAGAAGAAACAACAGCTAATCTTCAAAATGAAATCAATAGCATAAAAATCTGGTCTAAACAGTGGCACACAAAAATTAACTAAGAAAAACCTTTCACATTAACTTTACCAGTAGAAGAATAAACTTAATAATAATCTGGATGCTAAATTAAAATGGAAGGAACATGTAATAATTAAAACTGAACAGCAAATATAGAAATATCTATTGGTTGAAAGGAATGCACTCTTCACTTTCCACTCAAAATAAAGTCCCGATTTACAAACAAGTTCTAAAGCCAGTATGGACATATGGCCTGCCATTATGGGGTGTATACAAGAAAAAACAAATTAAATTGCTTTTTGACAATCAGGATCTAGTGTGCTTACTTAAAAGAGTCAAATCTTTTGAGCTTGTCTAAGTAAAGTGATCTTGATAAAGCAGAGTTAGTGCTATGCGCCACAATATCAAAGTCCACTAAATATGTTAATAACTAGTGTTGAACGCAGGTGAAATCAGATTTAAAATTTGGTAGTAAATTATAAAAATTCTGCTTAATCTCGTAAGGTTAGATGCATTCGGACATATTAAAAAAAAAAAACAAAATATGTAATTATATGAAGAACATTTAGGAAAGCAAGACCGAGACAGAACACACATTGACGGATTTCGAGTAGTATTGCAATCTGTCACACTTAACCGATAGATTTTACAACAATTTACTTGTAGTAGATAGGATATAATAATACTCTCCCTATTCACCCCCTTACGAGTGAATTTTAACCCCAAAAGCTGAGCTTGTCCAGGGAAAGGGACGGCTATTATTATTTGTCGTGGCGCTCCGGGGGGACTAAAGATGATTTATGGTGTCATTTGGCTTACAGGTGAAACCCATATCATTTTATGATTCGAACGCACGCGTATTCTCAAAAATGATCTGTCTGTTAATAATTCAAAATTCGAATTAAAACTCGAAATTTTTTTTGGTTGTTTTATTATATTTATTTGACTTTGCATTTTGTGTAGTTTTCCAAGTAAAACTTTTGAAATTGGCACATTGCCATTATCCAGGATATTTTAGATTTTTCCCAATCCAATATATCCTGGACAAATCAAAATGGGGTAATGTTACCTTCAGCTACGAATACAAATTTGGTGTGATTTCATGTTTGGAAAAAGCCTTTCATAAAGACCGCTAAAGGTAAAATTTCCACAAAGGTAGGAGGGAGGGCGGTTATGATATGGGGATGTACAATAGTAAGCGGCTTGGCAAATATATGTTGGCAAACGCATAAACACACCAATATCAAGAAGCTTTTGATTCCAACAGAAGATTAAAGTTTTGGAAATGAAAGTTTTATTATCGTGGCCGTCAAGTAAACTTTAATGTCATTAAACTTTATGGCATCAAATGAAGAAGTATTAGCATAACATGCAGTTCAAGAATTAAAGACAAAACTTGTCGCAATAGACCTTATTAATGATTCGTGCATCCGAATATTATTTATTTGTCAGCAAATTTGTTTGTAATTTTTATGTTCCATAGTTTATCAAAAATAAAAGAGTAAGTACATTGAATTTATTTGGTAGTGTCATCAGCAAACAATTCCAAAGAAACAGATCTAGAGGTAATTGTTTTGGAAAAACTACTACTACTTCCCAGTTGTTTTCTTTGCTCTAAATACCTTTTAAAGAATTTTGGCCTAATTCATATACCTAATAATTTTGAAATATTATAAAACTTTTTGAAAAAAAATTGATATTTTTAAGTTGCAAGTTTCAAAAACAAATATACCACATTTTAAGGTTTTTTTATAAAATATTCAGAAAAAATTATAATATTTCAAGAACCTTCAAATAGCCTAAAAATGTGTGGTTGTTATTTTAAAAACTTCAAAAACCGACGTGCTCTGCTGGATTCGTATTGTTTAAAGTATCCAGTGTTTTTTAAAAATATTATTTTTTCGGAATGTTTTATATATTTCAAGAGCATAAAAATCTTTAAAAAATGTGGTTTCTTGCTGGGTTCATTACAAGCTTGCAAATCACACCCCGTGTTTTATAATATTTATAATAGCCTAAAAATGTGGCATAGGTGTTTTTAGAAAAAAGCAGAGGTGCACACTTCTAGCTTCCTTAGATGCTAGCATATTTTTCAAAATATCAACGTTTTTCGAAATGTTTTAAATATTTCAAGAGCCTAAAAAAGCCTAAAAATGTGGCCTAGTTTAAAAAAAAAACTGGTTTCGTACTATTTAAAAAATGCAATTTTTTTTTTAGAAAAGTTTTATAATAATTTCAAGAACCTAAAAATGTTGTGTGGTTTTTAAAAAAAAAAAAAAAAAAAAAAAAAACCTGTACTTTTTAAAAATAACAAGTTTTTTCGAAAAGTTTAATAATATTTAAACAGCCTAAAATTATGAGGAGGCTATGACTTGAAAAAAAAAAAAAAATAATAATAAGTAGAGCACCTTAATTTTTGTAATAAAACAAGGAGCATAAATTTTTTAAATAGGGTATAAAATAGCCTAAAAATATGGCATAGATTTTAACTCAAAATTCCCTAGGTGCTTTGCTGCCTTCTTTAGCATTATACAACAGATAAAAACAAAAGATTCTTTTTTGTCTGAATTCAAAAAATATAAAGACAGTCATGGACTAACTTGCTTAGGATGGTCCTGGCTATGTTATACCTTTCTATCAAGTTTTTTCAAGCTCGACTAATTTTCATTACTTTAACTACTTTTCCAGACATGTCCGTCGGACTAGTCCAAAAATTAATAATAATAATAATAATAATAATAATAAATGTGCTTTATTAAAACTTAAAAGTTACAAAAGGCCATTGACCGAGGTCCTTCAGCCTAGGGTCCGAAAATTATTTTTCATGAAAAGCCCCATCACTAAAAATTAATGTCAGAAAGTATATTTTTCCTGAAAGCTACATTTAAAGTAAACAGTGCAAACACAGCAAATTTGTATGGGCGAACGCCAACCTTAAGCAGCATTTTAACATTTACATCTAAGCTCGCTAAGCTCTCTAAAATCAGGAGTTTCACAACACTATAAAAATAATGATACTAGAACCTCCCCTTATATATGCCTCCAATTAGAATAGACATGCATTCGAATCATAAAATTGAGTTCGATCTGCTAAAGCTAGATCGTTGTGTGGATTTTGAGTTGACATTATTGATATTTACAGAATGCCTAGTTCTCTCTATGCAGTCGCAGTCCTTTCGCAGTCATTGCTGTCTTGATGGCATGGTCAAAAAAAGAGATCTTAGGTGGGAAAACATTTTAGAGCAATGATAAAGTGATTCTAAAAGTACACATGACCAAAAGAACTTTTTTCTTTGTGTTTCACGATATTTCAAAGAGGGTAATTGGGATTATGTCAAAAACTTAAGCTTATTTTTGACATTGCTTTAAAAAAAATTACCAACATTTTTAAAGTTTTTGTGTGTTTGTGAGGTCTGATTTTTGGACCAGGGACTTTGATTTTTAAGGTTTTCATTTTAAACTTTACTATATATTCAAAGCAAAATAAAACAATTTTTATCAGGTTAACATTGGCACCACAGCAATTTCGTACCTACTCTTTTAAAATGTTTTCTGTTACTGGCTTATTTTTTCCTTTAGGACTCGACAATGTAATTAAAGGCACCCGCCTTGGTTTTTTTTGTACCAAATTTTCTTCTATTTTCTTCAAAGGTGAAGAACAACTATCATCCGATATTTCTATTACTCTACTAGTGTTTTTATCTTCTTTAATCTCTTCATAAATATCCATTTTTTCTAATGATACATTTTTCTTATCTTCTTCTTGAGTATCTTCGAGTTGTAAACAGAAATCTTCAGTGATATCGTCAAGTGGGCTTGCTTCAGGACTTGAACAGGTGGAACTTTTTTTATTCTGGGTTCTTTCTTTTTCTTTACTGAAACCATCCCTTGCATCTTCTTCACATATCAAATCAATAGTATCTTTAAGTACAGGTTCTGGTTTGTTTCTTTTCTTTTCACCAGATTTTTTTAAGAAATCTAGTAAAGGATTGCTTTTTAGGGGGGTTGTGATGAGTTTTTTTCTAACAAGTGATCCAACTTTTACTTTAGGTTGATCTTTCTTACTGTCACTTTTATGTTCGATTAGGGTGGGACTTGTTTTTTTATTTATTTTAGGAGTATTTTTCATGTCTTTTGTTTTACTATTCTTAATTTTATCAGTCTTTTTGCTTAGGTTCTTGGTTGAAGAATTTTTATCTTCGAAGAGAACTTTAGTTATTTTAGTTTGTTTACTTCTAGATATCTCTTTGTTTGATTCTTTACCGTTTTTTTCTTTATTTAAATTTGTGTTATCATTAATAAGTATCGTTTCATCTTCTATTTTATTTAAATTGTCTATTAATGTACCGCTACTTTTAATTTTTACAAGAATCTCATTATCTTTTGTGTTTGTGTCTTTATTTCCAAGTGCTATTGATTTTTTAGCATAATCTTCATTGGCTTCTGTATTATTTGTTTTATCAACATGTGTTTCTTTTTTGTCAAAGTCCATTGATCTAATTTCAATTTGCTTAGTATTAATATCAATTGATTTATCTAATAAATGCTCTTTCGATGATTCAGTATCAAGTGTATTTTTTCTAACTTCAATATCTGAACTACTTTTATTAGAATTTCCAATTTTTTTAGGTGTTATTCTTCTTGGCATTAACCTGTTAATTACTATTTTAATTTCTTTGAGTTGTTTTTCTGGTTTATCTTTATTTCCACTTTCAACTCTTATTGGCTGTTGTCTATTATTACTAATTTTATTTTCTTCTAATTTACTTTCATTGGCATTTTTGTTTCCATCAACTTTTATGGGAGATATTCTTCTGGGTGTTAATTTATTAATTTCCTTTTTAGGACTTTCCTCGGTTTTAGTTGTTTTATTGTTATCTTTACCTTCAATTTTAGTGGGTTTTATTCTTTTAGGCATGTGTTGAGTAATTACTTGTTTAAACATTTCTTCAGTTTTAGTTTTATCTCCAATTTTTATTGGCGTTATTCTTCTAGGTGTTAATTTATTAATATCTTTTTTAGAAATTGCTTCAGTTTTATTTTCTTCGACCTTTTCAGGTGTTTTCTCTTCAGTTGATTTTTCTGAGTTTTCATCATCGTTTATTTCTATTACTCCATTAAGATCTTTATTATTTTCAATTTTTGATTTTTTCGGGGTACTTTGTGCCCATTGTACAATAAAACTTGGCCTCTTTTTGGCTTCTTCCTTTTCTTTAGTATTCTTATTAGTTATATCAATATTTTCATCTTTTAAGCTAGGTTCTACATTCTCAATAACATTTAACACATTACTTTCTTCGTTTACCTCTTCTTTTACATATTCCTCACCTAATTCTTTAGGTTCAAAAGTTATTAAGGAACAAAAGCCATCAGTAGATGATGCTATAAGAAGTAACCCATCTTTAGACCAAGTGAGATCTGTTATTCTTGTGTAGTGGATCTCATGGAATCTTGCAAATGGTTTTGCTTGTTGTGTATCATAGAGTATGATGTCATGATCAGTGCCAATAGCGAAAATCATTCTGTATGGCAGTTTTACTACAGGTTCTGGTCCATCTGTACGATGTTGAAATAGCTGAGGACAGCATCTGACTACTGTACTGCTTTGTTTTTCTAAGGGAAGAACTGCTGCTGGTCTGCAAGGCAAATATATTTGTTGATTTGTAAAAATAAACATTTGTGAAATATTAAATTTAAAGGTTTAACAAGAAAATATTTTTCACTTACTCTGTCCAGTTGTCCATTGTAAAAATCAATGTAGAATTCAACATTTTTTTACAATCGTCAGCTTGAAAGTTCCCAGAAGGAACTATTAGAAGAGATCCATCAGGTGTGAATTGTAATCTTCTAAAGAATGACTTGAAAGTATCATCATGAAAATATTTGCTTTCTTTATTATGTAGAAAATGCCCATCAGGAACAGGAAGCTTCCCTTTATGTATTCTTGCTTTAACATGTTTGCCTGCTTTGTCAAATATTCTGCATACACGGTCTGTGCTTATGGTGGCTATGAGTTGGTTTTGTGGATCCCAAGCAACACCCTTTAAATGAACAAAAATAAAAAATAATAAAACAGTTTTGAAATAGTTATTTATGACTCAACTATGTGAACAGATACTTTTACACATGAATTGTTAAATTTATAATAATAAACAAATGCAATCAAAGCCCAAAAGCATTTCACAAATGATAGTCATACATTTTATCTATGACCATATTTCCTTAAAAAAGAAAATAGAAAATAAACTATTTTTATTAAATGCAAACTTTACAAACATGAAGGGTATTTAATTTTCAGAAGTTTTATCAAGTGATTAAGATTCTTCATAATTTTCAATATTTATTCGGTTGAAATTAATGGAACTACTTAAGTGAATCTCACATAAATAAATGAAATATAAATAGATAATGGTATTTAGTAAAAATAATTTCATCCAAAATATAAAAGATTTTTTTTAATTTCTAAATATTAGTAAATTAAATTACAAATATTATAGGTTTGTTCCAACAACGATCAGAAACCAGTCACTGACACCAGGATTCTGCGCAGTATATGATTTGGCGATCAAAATAATCTACTGCCCAGAATCCTGATGTCAGCAACTGGTTTCTGATCATTGTTGGAACAGACCTTTTATAATTCTTTTAAAGGAAAATTTAGAGACTAATCTGCCTTCTAATGTGTATACTGAAAGACAAGATCTAGAAGAGATAAATCTTTCAAACAGGTCACCATGTTTCAAAGGAAATTAACAATGATTATAATGTACTTTGCACATAGATTTGTAAACTTATTAATGAATATCTAATATTTCTAGATCAAAAATGTCTTATATATATATTAATCTAAATTCAGAGAAAGGTATGCAAAAAATAATGAGTAAATTTAAAAATGTCTGATATTTAAGTAATGATAAATGTTTTTAGAAAATATCTTGGAGGACATAAATTATTTTCGAGATATTAGATTTAGGTTAGGCAGAAGTTGAGTCGCCGATCTTCAGCACATCAGCAGCAGAACGTTTGGTGGAGACATTTTTATTTTTTTATAATTTATATGCAATTCATTAACTCGCTACATTAAGCAGATGAGTTGAAACGCCTGGCATTTAATTTACTATGTACATATCTGTAGCTCATTTTCAGTGGCTGGACTTCTGTCTAATGTAACACTAGCCTATGAATGAGAAGAAATAGGGCATCCAAATGGTGGCACAAACGACCTACGCTTTTATTGTCAAATAAAAAATCATATTAATTTATTATCAACTTGTTTTAGTGTATTTATATTGCTTGTTAAAGTTATTTCGTTTTTAAGAAAGTGGGTTATTTTGTCGTGTATTGTGTTTTAATGATTTTGTGCCGATTTAGAATTGAGAATAAGGACCAAAACAACATTATTACTAGGTTGTAAGTTTAACCAAATTCTATTTTTATAAGGTAACTTGCTCTTCTTTGATATACACTTTCAATAATGTATATTATATTGATTTTAAAACCAAAATTTTTAATTGTTTTCTATTCACAACTGGTGACAATGAATCATTCATAACTAGTTTTATAATATTCAACATCAAGTAGATCATTTTTTGACACTTGCTGCGATTACAAAAAATTTCACTTTACAAGTCAAAATTAGAAAAAATATTTTCCTAATTTTGACATATAAAGTGATTATCTACTTTATGCTTCTATTTGTTTTATTTAGTAACTGTGCATATAATATATATTTTACTTGTTGTAAAATGGGGTTTTCCCATAAATAAATACGAAATACATGTCCGTTAATTCTGCAATAACCAACGAATACTTTTGCACTGACAACAGTCAAATACTTAATGTTTATTTCACAAAACACCAGCCAACTATGATATCTCCAAAACCATTACTTTGCAGACCCATGTTTGTGACTTTTTTGGTCCATAGTGTTACCTCGTTAAGTATTTTACACTTTTTTAACACTCCATGGTCCCAAGAGTAATAAGTGAATAATAATTGTTTAAAAAAAAAACATAGTGAATAGGTAATATAGTTTGTAACCTCAGAAAGGTAGTTTCAAGTTCCACCAGTGTGGAGTTTTTTCTAATTGACAATTAAGTATTTAAATATAAATTAATTCTTATGACTGGAGCCCATTCTCTGTTGGATTCTAGTTAACAGTGTTGTTTCTATTATTATAAGAAACACTAAAACCATAACAAAGACTACATGGAACAAGATAGATCATTCAAAAATTCCTGGATTTGAGTTAGGTCCATCAAAAGACATTTTTGGAATTTATATACATTATATATTGGTATTGACATATTTTATGTTATTAGCATTTTTTAAGCAACTGTTAAAATTAAAAAACAGATTAAAGTTAATAAAAATCTTTAAACTGTAATTACTCAAATCTTGTAATTTGGAGATACACCTGTTCCTTTGTTAAGGAAATACCTAAGGTCTGATTTAACGTGAAAAAACAAAAACTATGAAAATCAAGGTACATGTAAAAATTAGCTCAACCAATCTACATTGATTAAAATAAATGTGTTATTCAAAAATAGTTACCTGAACAAATCCTTTGTGGTCGGTCAGAACATTTTCTAACTTTCCTTTTGCTAAGTCCCATATTATAGCAGTGTTATCTACAGATCCAGAAAATAGTTTTAAATTATCTATTGACCAACACAAATCATAAATATCTTCTTTGTGTCCCCTTAAAACCTAAAATCAAAGTAAATTAGATGCATGTTTTTATCATGTATTAAAATTGTTACCCTATGAACAATCCAAACTTCTTTATCATCAGTATTACCTTCTAATAAAGGAATATTGTCAGTTTTTAACTGCCATATGATTATATTAGCATCATCGTCTGCAGAGGCTAAATATTGCCCTGTGGAAGACCATCTGACTGTATTAACAGATCTTTGATGTCGTGTTAAATCTGATATAACTTCTTGTTTAACAGAACCGTTTTCACACAAAACCATTTGCCATATCTAAGAATTTTTTTAATAAGTACTAACTGAAAACATTTTTTATTTAGTAATTAAATCTTACCAAAATATGACTGTCTCCGCCACCTGAGGCTAGTTTATAAATATTTTCAGAAACCGGATGAATATCGACACTTAGCACAGGTTCCCTGTTGTGCCAGGATATTTCTGGTATTGTACACTTCATAATGTACAATTTGTTACGTTCTGTTTATGGTTTATACTTTTTTAAGGTTTTCAAAGCAAAATAATTATAACACCGCACCACACAAATCCCTAAATAATCCCGCCAAAATAAATGTCAACAATGCGCACATATCACTTGTCATAAGTCAGAACTGATGGCCATTTTTAATTAGAAAATTATTAGTTCCAATTCTAATTACATTTTTTTATTAATTTAAAGTTTAATTTTAAGAAATATAATGAAGCAGAAAAAATATATCTAATGTGTTTATTCTCTAACAAAATTATATATTTTCTTTGTTTAACTTAAGTAAAATTAGAAAAAGACAAAAAGACAATAAAACGGATGAACTTAGGTGACATCTATTAGTATTTGACATGACCACGTTGAAAATAAAACTTTTAAAATTTCTTTATTTTACAGTTTCCTTTGTAGAATAAGAAATTAAATTAAGTGGTGTGGTGTCAATTTCAGAATTGCCAATCAAATATACGTGCCAAAAATATTATCTAGTGAAATAAAAAATGTTAAATTAGTAGGAGATTAAATATACAGTGAGTTTTATATAGTAGAGCAATTTTTAAATCTTAGTTTATTTGGAACAAAATGTCAACGTAATAAATAATGTAGCCACCTATGATTTAATAGTTAAAGTTTAAGTAGTAAGTTTTTAAAGAAGAGACTTCGAGAATTCTTTACGGGATGGGATTTAAAGTGCTATTGTTCCAAATTCCTGGGGGAGATGTCGGGGTAGTGTGGGAATCTAAAATACGGAACTTGATTTTTGTATCGGCCATAGTAGAAAATGGCGAACGCGAAGAATTTAATGTGAACGAATGTGCTTGCATTTAGTGCGTGTACAGTGTATTTTATTAAAAAATTGAGACTATTTTAACGTTCATAGTTGAATTGAAATGCCAACATGCAGAATGTTTCGCAAGAATCTTCTACAGATAATCCGAAAATAGATAAAGTCACTGTTCTCCACGAACTAGGGAACTCATCGTCTACTCCCCAATCGACGACATCCAATTCAAGTCCAGCTAAATCAGAAACAGAAACGTATTCAGAACACCGCAGATATATGTCAGAAACATCAGAAGAAGAGGAAGATAGTGTATCAGAGGTAGGAGATTAATTTAAAGTATTTGTCTGTTGTTTTTCACGTTAAAATTCAGCCTCGAGGCCCAAGTATCAATGAACTTCCAGTAGAGAGACATCTTGTGGCAAGAATTTTTGTGTTGTACATTACTCGCCCTAGAATATTGAGTTTTACGTAAATTTCCTCGAATTTTCCACTATTAAATTGCATTTAGAGTTAGAATTTTCATTATGTAAGTATCGAAAAACTGCGTTCCAAAAATCGAGTGCGCCTGGATGACTACTGCAATGTGGAAGGATGTGATGTTTCCAATCCAATCCATTTTCAAATGACTAATAGCTCTCGTCCGTCGTAAAAATCTAGTTGACCGCCGTGTACACGTCAACTTATTCTTTTGTTGTAATAGACATTTGTTATTTTTCCTACCGTGCATTTAGAAAATTTGACAAGGCGGACATTTATACACTAGGTACTTGCTTCAATTGATCTACTTACTCTTACTCCCAATCTTTGATAAGTATTACTTTTAAAGTTTTTAACATCTAATCTCTAAAATTATTTTGACTTCATACCTAGGTATATGTTCCACTAACTAAATAGTTTTTTACATTTCTGTTTTAATATAAAATATAAGAAAGAGGCATTGGATTAACTTTCATAGAAAAAGTTATAAATAAAACAGGATGTTTATTAAGTATTGACAGCATATTTTTGGGGTGATTATGCACTTAAGAAATAAATCTTTTTCGTTTTTCAGTCTGCATAAATAAAAGCATTAGTTCTATGGGAAAATACCTAGACAAATTTAACTAAATTGTAGGTAGACAGGTTTTGTTTTTTTTCTTTATTTTTTTTTAAATACTAATTTATTATGTATCTTTTAAGTAAATTTAACAATTTTACATTTCTGATAATTCACAATTTACCTAAATAGGTATAGGTACCTATCCAGATGTTTCCAGAATTTTCTGACAGCTGTGACTGAAATTAAAAAAAAAGTTTTTTTTAAATTGTTTGTTGAACTTACTAAGCATTGATTAAGTTTTCTTTTTCACAACATTTTGAACTGCACTAAATTTTAACCAATAACATGGAAATTCCAATTGTTTATTTATGTAAAAATGAATAGGTGTATTGGAATTAATAAACAAAGTAAAATGAACTAGAACCAGTAAACACTAAAATAATGAAATTCCAGTAAAACGACAACAATTGAAAAACAAAAATAATTCCAGAAAACTTCATGTAAAAATTAAATTTTATGCCCAGTCACTGAGGTGCTGTCTTCTAAGAGTTTAAAATGTTGGACTGAATACAATATACAAGTGATTTGGAGAAGATTGTTTATAAGAATACTTGTATAGAACAGATACGATTCTACTTATAATTATTTACAAAATTCTTTATTAAGAACAAAGTGAACACCTTGAAAATTTATAATTCCTTCTGAGGCTTTATTTTTAGTCCAATTTTTGTGACATTTTCAGGAAATACTAATAGTAACAAAACTTAGGGTGAAGGAACCTTGATTTTTTTTGTAAATCTTTGAAAAGTTTTTACTTTGATAATTTTTAAAAAGAATAAAAAAAAATAATACTAGTTTTTTGTTATTATTAAATATCTAGTAGTTTTTAATTAGGAGGGTTTCCTTTTTTTTTTTTCTTAAATGTCTGTAGAGTGCTGCCTTATTGTTTTACAAATTTAAAGCTCTCAATATTCTTGAGACTCATAACATCTCGAAGTATTCGCAGTGGCGTGCATATAAATACAATTTTATATTAGAAAATCCTAACAACATTTTTACTTTTAATGATAGGTGTGGTTTGCTCTTAAAGATAAATATTTGATGTGATTTATAATTTAAGCCCATTCCACAATATTAATTCTCATATTTATATATGTGATAGCTGATATAATTTGATGCCTACATATTTTATAACATGTCATACAGGGAAGATTAAACAGTTAAAGATGCAGGCTTTTAACAATATACAAAAAATAACATAGTATTCATGTGTTGCAGTTTTTTATTGCTGCCCTCTTGATCTGATGATACTGATACATTTAGTAAAAATTATATTTTCTATGGTCATTTTATTGTTAGGAATAGGTCCTTTTGAAATAAGTCAAAGTGACTTTAAGTATTATCAAGAGTACAAAGTTTACTTAAAAAATTAATAAGTACCTACCTACCAGGGTTCGAAAATATCATGATATTTATATAAATATCATATCACATGATATATATCATTTTTAAAATTTAGTTATTTAATTAAAAAATAATATTGTTTCTTGCACAAACTATATTTTAAATTTTAACAAAAACCTATATTCTAAACAACAAAACCGTTTATTCTAACTCAAATTAAAAAGAAAAACAAAAATAATTAATAAAATAAACAGATTTTAACATTATTTTATTAACATTAATATTTTAACACAAACACATATAAATCGCTAGTTATTATACTTTTATACAGAATCTTATTGAGACATTTTCGGATGTTCAGAATAGTGGAAAACATTTTTAATTTAATAAATAAAATTATCGAATATATCAAGGTATAAATGTCATGATATATATCATGATATATCACTTGATATATATCCTCTGAACCCTGCTACCATTAAAATATTTTTAAATATTTAAAACTAAACTTAAATATATGTTTTTCAAAGGTACATACTTATTTAGAATTTATTTTTCTCAAAGTTTAAACAATTTAAAATCGTTTAAAAGTAGATAAATACTTAATTCATTATTTGAGCTCCAATCTGATCCTTAATTTTAAACTTGTAAATATGAATATCTAAATGTTTAAAGGAACTAGTGGTTGGCAAAGACTTTAATTTGTACCACACATTCACAACCCTACAGTGTAGTCAGTTCTAATTGATAAAAGTGTTAAGTAACAATTTTATTACATAACAACCTATGCACTTTTTACAAACTAAAATTCAACTGCTAGGAACTGCTAATGGACTCTAAACAGGCTATAGTCACTCATATAATGTGTTCCTTTATTCCTGCTCTGTAATTGGGATTTCCTGTAGAGCATTGTAATAAATAAATAAGAAAGATGACAAAAAGAATCCCATAAACTATCATCCTGTCAGTCTTACAAGCTATATCGGTAAACCAATGGAAAAGATTATTACAAAAGAAGTAACCGCTCTTATGATGGAACACAGAGTTTTTCCAAACAATCATTACGGATGTATGCCCAAAAGATCTGTTGTTACAAATCTCCCAAGTGCAGTTAACCAGTGGGCAGCTTGGCATGGCAACAACCATCCAATTGATGTGATATTTATGAGATAGCTTGTGATAAAGTTCCACATAGAAGGCTGCTTAGCAAACTGGAACACTTTGGATTAAGAGCCAATCTATTATTGTGGATTAAGAGTTTCATATTAAACCAGCAGTTCTGCGCAAGAATAAATGGACAGCTATCAAACAACCATGCAGTAGAAAGTGGAGTAGCACAAGGTTCAGTCTTGGGCCCTCTATTTATTATTTATTTTATACAGCAGCAATTTATTCAGCCTGAAGCTGACCTTTCTGCAAACGACGGAAAGATCTACTGCAAGCCACTGGAAAGCTCTCATAAAATGCAACAAGTCTTAAATAAAATATGGAATCTGGTCCCAGCAATGGCTACTAAATAAATGTACATTATTGCACCTTGGCCCAAATCCCCACACACAGTACACCATAAATACAAATGCAATAACTCCATTCGAAATACAACAGGATCTTGGTGTAATCATATCTAGAGACTTAAAATGGGAAACCCACATTGCTAATATAGGTAGTGAAGAAAGTCAACAGTCTCATTTACCTTATCAAAAGAGCTTTTAAAGACCATTCCGAAAATATGATCCTGAAACTGTACACAACTTACATAAGACCAACAATAGAATTTGCAGGGACTGTTTGGGATCCATACTTTGTTAAAGACATTGAACTGCTGGAAAGAGTACAAAGGAGAGTCACCAAAATACCAACCAACCCTATAAAACAATGAGTATTGTGATCTGCTAGCCAAACTACAACTTTCAAGTTTAAAGGATAGAAGAACTAGAGGATACTTAATAGAAACTTACAAGTGGACCAGCGGATATTACACCTGTGATAACATCTTCCAGGCCAGTACATCAAGAACCTTGAGAGGTCACTTGGAGAAATTAGATAAAGAAAAGTGTAATAAACAAACAGAACTGTATATCTGTGGAATGGTCTTCAGGAACATACAGTCACAGCCCAGAAAGTAAACTAGTACAAGGCGAGCGTGGATAAAGAAATAATTTTATTCATTATAGTTTATAGTATATAAAGTTTTAACTGTCATATAGTAATTTAGAATAATTTCTGTCACTAACTAAAAGAGCAGTTTCAATGACTATGTCGATTGCCTGTTAACAATAATAAACAATAAAAGAGTTTATATCATTAATCAATTAAAGGTGCATATTATAAAGAATTTTATAGTCTTTTCCTCAAAACTTCACTTATCCTACATACGACGTCCACTTCCAGAGTGTTTTGACGTCCACTTACAGAGTGTTTTGACATCCACTTACAGAGTGTTTTTTTCGTTGACAAATTCGCATAATCTTTAATTGATTCACTTATTTTTAAAAGTTGCTTAACATAGTAACAATTCCTATTTCAAATAAAGCCCCTCTAAAGCAAAAAATGAAAACTATTATTGGGAATATAATTATTTAAATTGTTGGAATTTTCACTAGAATTGTTGGAATTGCTAGATTTTTTATTGAAATTGTTAGAATTTTCATTGGTTTTGTTGGAATTGGTGTACCTACATGATTTTGAACCATGCTGGACCTTTCGTAATATAATATAACTATTTGCTTTCAAAAAGACTTAGATAATTTGGTTCAATGGTGTAGTACATGGAATTAAATACAAGTAAATGTCATGCAATCAATTTCAACAGAAAAGATAGTCCTATTGAATATATCTATAAAATCAATGACATAACGCTGGATACTATTACAGA